AAAAGATATTGTAGGAGCATGTCACTTCCCAGTCACTGGTCCTTCATCGATACATTTTGCGTATGTTTATCCTGCTTTTTTTGTCTTTAACAAATTACTTGGCCCTGATTATCTAGAATTGTCTACAATTAGGATCCCATTTTGTGTGTGATGAACTGAGCAATCCTGCTGTTGGTGTCTTCAGTCTTCATGAGATTCACATAGCCAGGACTATCAGTGTCTGCAAAGAGGGCACCTTGCCCTAAGCTGACTGTGCCCAGCACAGGATAGCAGAGGAGCTGAGGTGGGAAGGCACCTCTGGAGGTGGCGAGTACAGCACCATACTCACAGTGTGGTCATGTAGAGCAGCTTGTTCGGGACATTGTTCGGTTGGGTACTGGGTATCTCCAGGGGAAGAGCCTCCACTGTCTCTGGTCTTGGTCACCTTCTTGGTAAAAAGGTTTTTCCTCATGAGTGAGCTGATTGATGCTTTCTTGGGGTGCACTGAGAAGCCCTGCTGCTGTGGAGGCAGCCCATCTGCAGGGCTGACCAGGAGAGGAAAGAAGAGGACTTTGTGTAAGTTGTCTGAGGAGAAACTGTTTGGGCTGTCAGCAAAAGAGGGCTCATGGCACGTGTTGTGGAGCTCAAGTTTGAGAAAACCCATGCCTTGCTGGTGGGTTGGTGTTGGGCACCTCAAGTCAGGGACTCCACTGTAAGCATCTTGTTTCACCAAGGAAGCCTCTCCTGGGTCTTGTTGCCCTTCTCAGCTCTGGCTGCATCCTGGCTTGGCTCATGTCCTCCCTGCTAGGCACAGGCTCACTCCCTGAGGTTACATTCTGCCAGGGACCTCAGGAAGGCAGCATGTTTGTGCTGGGAACATGGACATTGCCTGCTGCTGGGGCTGTGCACAGGGACCACGCAGTCTCTGTGTGTGTGTGTGTGTGTGTGTGTGTGTGTGTGTGTATGTGTGTGTGAGCACAGGCACGCATCCTCATGCCTTCTTCTTCCCCCAGAGGAAAACAGGCTCCAAACAGAGCAAGGGCTGGAGGAGGGAGCCTTGAAGGCTTTAACTGTTGGCTTCCCCTTACTCATGTTTTTCCTGTTAGTGTTTTGTCTTCTTGGCATCCTTCCTGTTCGTTATATGTATATATGTTATATATTGTTGCCTCCTTGTTGCTGTCTCTATGCTGCACCCTTTGTTGCGAAAAGGAGAAGGGAGGTGCGACTTGTAGGCTTTGGCTGCTCGGAGTTACTCAGGTTTCAAGCACCGAGAAGAAACACAACATGTCCTTTTTCTTCTTGGAGGAGAGTTGAACCAGCCCCAGGTTGCTCCTGTTGCTCTGAAGCCATGCTGTGCATATGTGGCAAGTGGCTAGCATCCACTTGTGGACGTGGATGAAATTTTTGGGAGGCGCAAAGGAAACCTTGAGATACGGCCTCCAGCACACAGCAAGGGTAATACCCATCCCCCAAACCACCTTCGAGGTGTGCTTGGTTTATTCCCCACAAACAAAACTTCAAAGAAGGGAGGCCTGGGAGGCTTGCTGCCATCACTGCCTGACCTTCTCAGAGACGAGGCTCCCGGTGTGTGACCTGTGTGCATTTCTGATAATATCCACCACGGGGCCTTTGCACTCCCCTGCCTTCTGTCGTTGTCTGGTGACTGCACCAAGTGTGCTGGGCAAAGCTGGTGTCTTCCTCTCCCTGGAGGTGTTCCTCTGGAAGCCTTCTCTGCCCTTGGGGGTAGGAGTGTGCCTCTTTTTTATTCACTGGTTGCTCTGGAAACATCGTGTAGTATCCCATGCCCTGAACCAGATGTGCATACTCCCAAAAGCGTTTGCATCGGAAGCGGGGAAGAGGGCACTGGGGAAGGGGGGCGGGAGGAAAACTTAAATTAGAAGAAAGCCAAACAGCTATTGCTGGAGACAGATGATTACAGCTCATGTCAAGGCTGTTTCCTGCATGCCAATGATAGATCAGTAAACAAACGCCTCTTTGCGAACACAAAGCAGGCAGGAACTCTGTTTGGAAGAGAGAGGTCGGGGTAGGTCTCACTTCACTTGGTAGCAGGAAGCCCCTATCACATGGCCCTGGGAATTGTGAGGCCGGGTGCATGTGGGAGATACGCCGAGAGGCTTCTGCTGGGAGACTTCACATCCTTCCCAGAGTCCAGCCAACAGGTTTGAGAGCTCCTTCCCCTCCCTCTTTCCTCCCACCTCCTCCCCTGTCCTTCCTTTCCCCGTTTAATTTTGAAACACTATCAGATGACTGCTTTGTTCCCCCAAACAATGGCAGGGAGTAAATTGCAGTGGCAAGGTTCTCCAAATTGGGCTCAATATCTTCTCTCCCCTTTCATAGCCTTGATGTCCTGCTCCAGGATATAAGTGCAGTGGCCTCAGGCTCGGTTCTACGGGGCTGTGCCTCCCATTGCTAGTAGAAAGTTCTTGTGTGGCTTTTGGAAAAAGCAGCAACCTGTCAATTAGTACCAGAGTGATGGGTGTGTGTATGTCCTCCTTGGGTCTCCTGCTAACTGAGCTCAGCCCTGCTTGTTTCTTCTAGGCAGTTTATAGAGCAGTTGTGTGGGATCACATCCTGCTTTGTCAGAAACTCTTAGTGAGCTGTAGCAGGTCATAGAGATGCTCCAAAGGGCCTGAGCCAGCACACAGAGTAGTGTGTAGCTGATTTTAGGAGAGATGTGGGCAGTCAGGAGGGACAATAGTCCTCCCTTTGCCTTTCACAATAAACTGTCGTGTTAGCTTTGGGTGCCTTGTGGAGCCAAAACTTGGAAAACAAAGGTAGATGTTGTCTGTCTACTGGAGGCAATTTTCCGTCATTGCCATCGCAATTCCTCTGGTCAAGTGCTGGCAATGCCTGTGGGTCAGGCCTGCGAGTTATTTCTAGTGAACTTATTCTTGGAAGACATTATCATATCACCCCTGAAGCTCACTGGGCTGGTGCTTGGTCCCAGGAAATGGTTTGACTGTTGGGCTTATTGAGAGGTGTCTTAATATTTTCTGCTGTTTTATTCCAGAGGTGACTCTTTTCCCCTCGTGTGTCTTCTGACGTGTTTGGGTAAATATTTACTCTTTTGAGCAGAACCAGCTGATGTGCTGCAATAATTCTCTAGGTGATGCTGAGGGCACCTTTCCCGTGAGACTCTTGCAGCTGCTTTGTGACTCACTTCTGCAAATCAAGGCTTATGGAGTCTGTCCCATCCACCACAGAAGAAGAAACAAGTGCACTTCTTATTCTGTATCATCTTCTTTTCGGCCTGTCCCACAGGAGGCCATGTCTGCTTGTACCCAGATGTTCGTTTTCAAGGCAGGGTTTGTTAGCAGGCTGCTGGAAAAGGCTGAGAGATGGAGTTTGCTGATGGAGAATCTGAGTGACCTTATGAAGACAGAGGAACCTATCCTCAGTGAACACTCAATGTTTCAGCACAGCCACAGGGACTGTGTGTGTGGACACTTCTTGTGTGGACACAAGAAATGTTGTATTTCTCACCGCTAAAGGCAGTGATGAGAAGCTGCAAGGTACCAAATGAGTTTTCCTTGAGTGAGGAAACTGCCCCTGCTCTAGGGATGTTGTAAACCAAGTGCAGAGCAGACTCTGTTGCAGCTTTGCAGGAATCTGCTTTGGCTGCCTGGGTGAGTCATTCTTTGGCCAAGGCCACAAGTATGGTTAGTTTTTCATTATATTCAATCCATAACAGTTAACGGATGGATGAATAGATTTTGTTCCTTGGGCTGGTAAATTTTCTTGACAGTGTTGCAAGGCTGCTCTGTGTCTAGAAGTGAAGTGGGTGCTTGTTCCAGTTACTAATGAGGGAGAGAAACCAAGGGGGTTTATTGTCTGGGAAAAGAGAGTCTGCTAAATGGTTAGCAGTGAGCTTCCTGAGTGTGTACACACTGAGTTGACCCAGAGTTCACTCCTTGCCTCAGGAACATTGCCAATGTGGAATGAAAGGAGGGAGAGAAAACTCTGAACAAACAAAACTGATTTTCCCCCCTGCCCCCCTTTTTCCTTTCTCTGCCCAAAAACTTGAACTGTGGAAATTAGAGATCCTTTTGTTCTTTACTGTTTCTGGTGTGATGGGCTGTATTCTTTTTTATGACGAGAGGCACTTGGTCAAATGGCAGGCATGGCAGGACAGCCTCTGGCAGACCCGCTGGTGGAGAGACCTGAGAGACTTTTCCAAGTATTGCCTACAAGATGGTGAGCCTGTTGTCATTGCAGTGCTTTAGGGCAGGCAGACCATCCTGATAAGTGAGCAGAGATGTGCTGCAGAGTAACAGAGTAATTCTTCTATTTTTTATTTAACAAAAAAGAGCATTGCAGCACAATAAAATGGAGATGGAGTCTGTTGCATTGACTGGGTAGCAGTGGCACTCAAAGAGAGGGACAGTCATTCCAAGAGTGCTAGAAATCATGAGGCAAACAGAATGACTCATTTATGTGAATGATTTATCTTATCCCCACAAGGAGTTGTCCTCTGAAATGAGATCAGTAGCAGGCTAATGTGGGCCACCAGAGAGAAGATCAATGGCTGCAGTGCAGTGTCTCTTCAGGCTAAAATGTTTTCTCATCCCAAGTTTCAAATGTTGTGACAGTATTATATGCCCAACAACCACTTCTGACTTGCGGCCTTAACACAGGTTGTTATAAAATTGGTTTTGGTTTAGTCTTCTGTAAGGGGAAAAAAGTCTAAATCTGAGGAGCTTTTGACAGCAATAAAAGCTGTCTTGGAATGTGCTCCATATTTAATTCAAGGTGTAGCAATTGATGCTGAGTCCAAGACTATCTTTGCCCTCAAAAACTGTCAACTCCTCACTGGGCTTCCAAGGGGTATTGCTGTCACCCCTCTTCCCATTTTGCCGGGGAGGAAGCTGTCCTCAGAAAGCTGTCATGTCTTGCTTCAGCTCCTCTCCTGGATTTCAAGGAGAAACGTGTATGTGTGTGTAGAAGGAAAAGAGAAGGATGCTGAGTGGAGAGCAATGCTCCTTCCTTGTGTCTGTCTGTAGGTGACCTGCTGCCCTGCTGTGTGCTGACATGATGACAGCAAGCAAGGCCGCCGTAGTGAGCAGCAAGTCTGGGAGTGCTGTCTGCAAGTCTGTTGAGAGGTGAGAGTTTTCCATCTTCCAGTGCCCGTGTGTTTTGCTTGTGTTTATTATTCTCAACACAAAGAAAACCAAAGGAAGGAAATCTTCTCTCTGCTGGGCACTATCCCTCTCTCCTCCCACGTTAAAACACAGCTCATGGGTCCCATCCCATATCCCAAGTGTGATATCACACACTTGGAAATCTCTAGGCTAAAGATATTTGGAATTTTTGTTGCACTTTGGACCCAGACAGTGAGGATGTAATCTGAGAATGTTGGGTCTGGTTTCTGGGTACTGTGGGAGTGTGCCTGGCTGCACATGTGGGCTGGGGTGCTACAGCCCATAGAAACAGAGTAATAAAAGTGCAGTCTTTGGTCATCAGTATGCATTTGGGGAACATTAGGATGGACTGAGAGATCCTCTCAGCAGCTGCAGAAATGCCAGCTGCACCATATGCTTTCTCCTCTGTGAAACAGCAGTACTTCTGCTATTGTTTGCAAGTGGTCCATTTTGCATTTGTTTGCTTAATGCCTGATGATGTCCAAAGCTCTGCTGCACTTCTGCACACCCATACACGCACATTGGAGAAGCTCTCGTTGGTGTCAGCATGTCTGATGTACAAAAAATACCTCTCTCACCTGCAGCCTACTTCTTCCACAGAGAAAGGTTCCATTTCAAACCTCATCTTGGTTTTAATGAGAGAAGGGCAGTATGTTCTGGCTAGAAGGACCTTTCCCTGAGCATCCTCCCCTCTAAGCCCATGTCAAGTGCTTAGTTTGCGCATCATTTGTCATCAGCTTTATGACTAAAGTTTGAGGAGCTGATGAACTAAACCAAGGATGAGGAATGGCAGTGAATGTTTCTTTCCTTTTTGTCTTTGATATGCAGGATCAAGCTTGCAGATAAAAACAATACAGCAGCTGTGAAGGAATTAGAAAAACCTTTGTGTGGATTTTTGAGTGAGAAATGTTCTGAAGATTCCTCTGTTGCCCTAGGTTTAACACCTGGAGTTGAACCAGTTTCTTCTGTGGTGAAGAACCCATTGGGAGCCTTGGAGAACTTGATGCTGGATCCAAGGCTCGACTGCTTTCAGCAGAACATGCTTAGTCCTAAAATGATCATCAGTGACCCGTCTGTGGATCTGAATGTCAAAGAAAACAATAAAATCATCAGGAGACAGATAGGAGGCACTCAGAATATACGGTCACCTGGAAAAATTGCCTTGAGGAATAAGTCCTTCAGCATTAAGGACAAAATTTCAGAATGGGAAGGGAAAAAGGAAACACAATCTGCTCCTCGCAGAGAGGAGGAGCCAGGAGTTAAAGAGGAGCACAAGGTGCCTTGTGGAACTGAGAAGATGAGTGGGGAAGCACTGGTGACTCGGAAAACGGAGACCAAGAGACTTATGAGCTGGGAACTAGAGTGCAAAGGGGCAGGCAAAGAGAATGAGCGGAAAGCGGGAACTCAGAAAGGCACAGGGCAAGCAGCAGAGCGAAAAGGGGAAACGCAGAAGGATGAGGAAATGGAGTTCAGCCCTGGAAAATGCAAAGAGGTGAAAGGTGGGAAGTGGGAGGTCCAGAAGGAGAATCTTTCAGTGCTTAGTCAGGTCAAGAAGCTAGAGCAGGCTATGAAAGATGGCTCAGCAGAGCTGCAGCCACAGTTGCCGGGTACTTACTATTCCCCACAGTGCTTGCAGGAGAAGGTGGCACAAGGGCACACTGCTCACGAGGGCCACGAGGGTGTATGTGGGGCTGAGCTCAACAAAAGGCTTCTTGGCATGGACTCTGAAATCAGTGAGCCAATTTTTGGGACTCTAGAGGAGATAAGAACTTCTCATGTGAAATCCAAGCACTGCACAGTGGAGAATGTGTACACGGAGCCGGGGGTGCCAGAGAAGAAGCCCTTCATCAACCCACTGCCCAAGCCCCGGCGGACTTTCAAACATGAGGGGGAGGAGGACTGGGTGCCAGCAGCTAGGAATAAAAGAAACTTGCCCCCTCTGCCATCAATTCCTCCCCCTCCTCTGCCCTCCTCTCCTCCTCCATCAGCTGTCAGCAGGAGGCTCTGGAGCGGGAAGCACAAGAACAACGCTGACCACAGGTATTGGGGCTGTGTTTCGTGGAGCTGTTGGTCTTCATGTTGGAGTCCCACCTAATCATCTTTCTCTGAGAGGAACAAATCCTCCCTTTTTGCTCAGAATCTCCAGCATAATCAGCACTCAGTCATCTCTCTGAGAATGTATGAGTGGCCAGCACTACTCCACAGGGTAACTGGAGGGATAAGTTATGGCAGATTTAAGGTCACTGTATTACATGGTTTAACCTTCAAGCCCAAAATTGAGGGATTTGGGGTTTTGTTTTGGTTTTCTTAGCAGAAACTCCGCTTAATTACAAAATGACCACAGCTGGTCTGGAACAGTGTTTGGAATGATAATCTTTAGTCTCTACTGCAGCATTTTCACTGTCCATAGTAAACCTCAGTGAATCTCATGTGTATATATTCTTCTGGAATGCTTGCTTGTTTGCCTTATATCTTCTCCCACACGATTGTCACACATTTTTGGGGTGGGGGACATAAAATACACAGCTTTTCTAGTGCCCTCTGGATAAATTGTTGCTTAAAAATTCCTGGCTCTGTTGCAGAAAGGAAATAAAAACTTGCTAGGTTTGCTCTTGGAGGGCATAGTTTTACCCTTCCTACCATTCTGCAAGCAAATTTTGTTTTTCTGTGCTGCTCAGAGCAGATTTTGGGGCTCTCTTACTCTTTTCACGGGTGGGATCTGTGCTGTAAATGAGACCTCTCATGTCCTAAGGTTCTGTGCAGTGTTCCAGGATGTGCCATTTAACACTTGCATCTTCACAGTGTGCTATTGCCATGACAACCCAGATTATCTGTGGCACCCCCAAATGCCTTTATTTGCGTGGCTGATAAAAACAGCCAATCTCAGTATTGCTTTTTCGTGCTTTATATGGGATGAGACAGTGAAATGTTCTCAAGTAATTTGTTTTGCCAGCTGCGTCGCAGGTTGGAGAAGTGAATTAGCTGTAATTTGGTTATAAATGCTGGTTAACTGCATCACTGTCCTCTCTGCTCCTCCTCCCCCCACTCCGTGGTGCAGGAAATCGTATGAGTTTGAAGACTTGCTGCAGTCGTCATCTGAGCACGGCCGCGTGGATTGGTACGCGCAGACCAAGCTGGCCCTCACACGCACTTTATCTGAGGAGAACGTCTATGAAGACATCCTGGGTAGGAGCTCAGCACAGGGAAGGGAGCTGGCTGCCAGTCCTGAGTAGCAAGCATTTAGCAGAGGTGCTGAATAAAGAGTGTTTATTATCCAAATGTAAACCAGGACACGTTTTGCGCATATTATTGGCAAGTAATAAGAAAAACGGATGGGGTACTTCAAAGCTCATCAGCTTCAAAAGATAAACCTAAGGCATATGGGAAGCAGCTTTTATTTTTTTGCCGGCAAATCTCCTCTGCCTTCCCTTTGTCCTGTGGATTAATTCTCACAGCTCTGATCTGTCCATTGTGGTGATTTTGTCACTGCCGAGATAATGCGAACAGCCTGAAAACATAGCCTTGAAGTCCACAGCTCAGGAATAGGATTGTGTATGGCTTCAGGTACCCTTGCAATTAAGAAACTGGGTCCCACAATCTTTGAAATTGTGTTTTACTTAGCTCTCTAACTTCAGTGTCAGATCAGTGCCATTTTGAAGATTATTTCCTGTAACTCTCTCCACTCATATCGTGTTTTTTAATATTGTGAGTTAGGTGGCCTTTGATAGAACATAGAATAGAAGTGTCCCCCTTGAAAAAGCCTTGATGAGTTTTAGTAGCTCTAGGCTGGTGCTGCATGGATCTCTTGGCTGAGGTCAGCAGAATAGGAGGGGAATAGCTGCATCAGCTCTTGCCATACTGCTGTAATCCTACAAAGGTGCCTGTGTTGTTCGGCATAGGAGGAGCTGCGCTTTCTCAGGAGCAGGCCAGGCATTATTATTTTGATAAAAATAAAATCTGATCATACTTGAAGAGAAGGGACTCTTAAAGGAATCGTGTTCCTTTGGGGCTGATGGCAGACAAGGCAGTTCTAATCCATCCTCTCTGACATTTTTGAAGCTGTCGGCCTCATTTGTGCAGCTATGGGCCTTGTGTTTGCTTTTTTTCTTCTCTTTACTTGGGGGGCCAAAGGAACAGGGAGTGTCTAAGCAGATGCTGTGGGGTTTTTGTATTGGGGCATGATGGGAGGTCTCAGAAACCACTGAGTAAGGGTCACCTTGTCAGCTGGAATAACATGGATAGCATTACAGAGTGGCTGTGAAGGCAAATCCATCTATTCAAACACAAGCACACCCCCATGTCCCAAGTGTGCAGGGAACTCAAATATCAGCCTGAAGTTCCTCTCCCCTCCAGCTTTTAGTTGCAAAGATTAGAAGAAAACAAAGTTATAGGTAATTGTCAGCTAATAGAGCATGTTTGTTTTTTTGTTTTCTTGCTGCATGTTAAAGCTTTGCCTGGAGTCAGTGATCTTTAATTGGTTCCTGCAATCCTGGTGGTGTTACCATGGAAGCTTGGAAAAAGAGGTGGACAGGGATAACTCAAAATAAAAAGCTGCAGGTTTTTTTTTTTCACAAGACCACAGACAAGTTTAATCCACAAAACAAACAATGTGTGAAAACCTCACCGGTGGAGGGGGAACCAAGATTTCAGCCACAGGACACTGCTGCTGGCCCACAGACAATCACGTGTGCTCATCAGGACGTGCAAACACACACATACACACACTCATATATGTGACCTGGGGGGGTTCAGCTGCTGGTGGGATAATGGTTCCAGTTCCCAGCAATTCACACAGATTTCCTTCATGCACCCTTTTTTCACCTGTTCATTATTGCTTACCTGGAATATTGGAAGCTAGCCCATGGATGACAAGGTTTATTTGTGAAAAAGAGGGAAATGGTGTTCTTTCTTTTAGACTGAAGCTAATTGGACTTGTTTAGCAGTTTGAGGATGGGACAGGCAACAGAATCCAAGCTGGTTCTTTTTCTCTCTCCAATCTTCCAGTTGCATACAGCTGAAATATATTTTCAGTACTGAGGAGGCTGTTGAAATTTGAAAGTGGAGCCAGTTTCAGGGACAGCAGAATGCTTGCTGACCAAGTGTTAGTGCAGCCTTGCTTTGCTGTGTCACATCCACATGCCTTCTCATGGTGAATTTGGATTCCCTGCTGGAGCACTGGGTGTCACCAGCTACTGGAGAGGACAGGGCTGGGAAAGGCTTGGGTTTCTGCCCTTGTCTGAAGAGTTCAGCTGCACTCCTGCCCCAGCTGGGCAGGCAGGTGGGAGTACACTGGTTAGACAGATCCCAGAGCCATTACAGAGTCCTGCAGCACCACTGACTTCCAGTCTTTGCTCTCAGCCAAGCATTATGTGACAGTAAGAGAAAGGCAGTTGCTTCAAGTCCCAGCTGTCCACAGGGATCTGGCATGAAGTGAGAGCAGTGAAGAGACAAGGCTCATAACATGTCATTTGCCTGTGCAGATGCTTGGGCTAAGCCTTTGTCAGTGGTTTCTTAGAAGCTTGGGTGGAGATGTCACAACCTGCTTTGTCAGAGTTGTGCTCTTTTTGAACACACTCAAATTCCCTAGTAGTGCTGGAGAGAGGGATATAAGAAGTTCATTACATATGATTTTGGATATTTAAAGCTCAAATTGGTGTGTGCCTCATCTCCAGAATTACTGGGAAGAAAGGAACCCACATCTACTTCAGAGGTGTGCATTGTGTCTCACGTAACCTCCCCCCCATCCTTCTCCAGGGCAAGAGCATCCTGACTTTGAGTGGCTTAATCCTTCCCTCTTTCTAAAGTACAGCGTGTGAGACTGAGGTCTCCATGATTGGTAGACGTGTTTCAAATCCTGGATTCCATGCTAGACATCCATGCTCAGAGCATGGATTCAGTCTTCCTGCAGTCAGCCCAAGAGCAGGGCATCACTTCAGCCCCAAGTAAGTAATGACCAGATATCATCCCCCTAAATGTGAGGCTTTAAACAGAGAGAAGACCTTCATGCTAGGCTTCAGCTCACAGTTTCATTGAGCACCTCCAAGCAGAGGACTGGAAATTAGGAAATATAGTTATGAACTTGTGCATGAGAACATCACAGCTCTTCTGGACACAGGAGAATGAACTTGAGGGCTCACAGGGTCTTTCCCATCTGTAGTATCTGTGATATGTTTCTATGGCTGCATTTGTCTGTGTCAGGGTTTGGACACTGTCCAGCAAGCAGCTGGACCTCTAGGGCCATGGAAAGGATGCAGCCATTGCAGGAATGCTTGAGAACAGGTCTGGTGTGGGAGGTGGGAGAAGACCGCCGGATCCCTAAACAGATTTTAATGGCAAACCTCAGAAATATTCCACACTTAAATCTTTTGCTTTTGGTTTTTTGCTGCAGATCCACCATCAAAGGAAAACCCTTATGAAGACATTGAGACCAACAGCCGCTGTTTGGGGAAGAAATGTGTCCTGACCTTTCCAGCATCCCCCTCCTCCTCTGTACCGGGGACTCCCACAAAGGTACTTTGATTCAAGTGGCCACCTCTTCTGCTCCTGAAAGTTTTTGGGTAAAGTCTAGGTCCTTTTGTGGAAAAAGTGGACACCTTCATCATGTTAGGGATTTTTTCTTTATGTCTTTTGCCACAGAATACAGTGTGATACGAGAGGATTTACTGCCCTTCAGTGAGGTGAAAACAATACAGCATTCCCTTACATAAATTGTTTGTTTGCTTTCACTTTTTTTCCACTCCAGGGTTGCCTTCCCTGGTGGTGTGGGAAGACCTTCCTCCTCTCAAAGAGGGCATGGAAGTATTTGGGTAATCAAGGCCTTGTAGTAGCCTTGTCTCAGTGCCTGTGGCAGTGCAGTCTGCCCATGCTGGTGCCCAGGTGCCTCTGCAGCACCCTCCCACCCCCCTCAGGAGCCTCTTTTGCTCTCTCCATGAGACAATTTGCAGGTAACACAGTGCTGGTCCCCTGGCTGGACAGCTAGTGCTAGAAGGGCATCCCCACCACAGCCCAGCTCACAGCTTGCTGCATTTTTCCTCCTTGTCCATGGAACCAAAAGAAGAGGTAAAACTTTGGTTAGCTCCTCTTGCTCAGAGCTCAAGGGTTACCAAGGCCAGCCCTGCTCTCTCAGCCTCCCAAGCTTCTTTGGTTGATTCATGTTGCCTTTTTAAATAATCCAAGCCTGGGATAGCAGGGACAGCATGACAGCCAAAGTCATCTTGGCAATAAATGGGTTTGGAGTGGATAGCAGGGATCTAAACACAGCTTTCCTGACCAAAGGGTTTTCTCATGCTTTCCAAGTAACAACTATTATTAGAGCCTTCATCCAACATTTTCAGAAGTTTTATGTGCAGTATTCCTTAACATGCTGCTCTTTTCCAACCAGCTTAATCAGCAACTAAGGTGTCTTTGGATAATTCAGCTCTTGAAAATAAAAATTGTTCTGTAGTTCTGAATCCATTCTCCTTGTTGCTAGTTAGGTCTAAAACAGCAAAGGGCCATGTATTTGAGTGTTGGGATGAGGTTGATCTCCCTCAGAGAGATTTGCATCACCCCTGCACCCAGATTTCCCACTATGTGTGCTGTGGAAAAGGGGCTGCAGTGCTGCAGGGGAATGCCTTTCCCCAGAGATACTGTTCCCAGCAGGAGAGCTGAACAGCAGAAATTATGTTACTCTACAGTGCTTTGCCATCTAAAAGCCGGGGTCTTCATCGGTCAGAAAAGTGCAAAAATGCTGCTGCAGCTCTCTTGGCAGCTAATGGGTTTGCACCTGCAGCCTTCATCCTGCTGGAGAGCCTGGTTGGGCTGCAGTGATGGGGAATGGGTCTGGACAGACTCTCAGGACTACTATGTAAGTACTAGCTCATATACCTGGTGCAGAATGAGATTCTTCAGTGCAAAGACTCCTTAGAGCCTCATTTTTCCATGGCTTCTCTATAGGTGGCAAACGTTTTTGTGACCTGAGCATCCTCTGCCGAATCCAGAGACACCTGAGCTAACCTGAATGGATTAATTGGTCTAATTAATAACTGCTGAGTATATCTGCTGATGGAGGCAGATGGTGGTGCTGCCTCAGCTCCAGTCACAGTGCTGCTGTGAATTATTCAGAACTAGGCTGGATAGCTCTCCCCCACACTTCTTCATGGCAGATACGTCCTCTGGCAGCGCAGATACTGTTCCCACAAAAGGTGCAATTTACCTTGTCATAACTACTGGGAAATTCTGTAGGAGAAGATTAAAAATGTTCTTATTGAGCATCTTTCTGGTGAGAAGTAGTTTGCCCCTCTTTATCTGGAGCTGAGCTTTCTACTTCTCTGATGCTATTTTTGGTCAGAGACTTTAGGAACTTTATTCTGCTACTAAAACATCTTCTGTTGTACACTCCCACCAAACTTTCTAATGAGTTTAGGAGGAAAGCAGTTTCCATAATTGTCTAGCAGCATCTCTTGTACCCTTTGAAATATCTGATTCTGGCTCCTGTCAAAGGCAGCCATACTGACAGTGCTTTTTGCCTCCTCTCACTGCTTCTCTGTTCCTCCTGGCTAGCTGCTCCTTATCCCAAATGCTTGTGGTTGGTTGGTCTTGTCCTGTTCACAGTCCCAGCCTCTGGATTACCCAAATCCTGGGAGATTTTTTTGCACCCTGGAGCAAGGCCTTCTTGGCCAGCCCCTGAGCTTGCCTTCTGTTCTGGAATGAAAATGGGATGCTAAATTGCTGGTCAGGTTGTAGCCTGGCAGCTGCATGGGTTTCTTGCACATGCTGAAATCCGTGGGCTCTCTCAGGCTGTTTTGACAACTGAGTGCTGTGGCTGCCCCCCTGGATTTACTGATATGATAAAGATACATGAGGTACTGTGGTCATTCATTCCTTCTCCTTCATTTCCAGCTGCTTTCCAAACCCATGTTTTTCCGGCAAAACTCAGAGCGGCGGAGTTTCAAACTGCCAGACATACGGAAACTGAGCCGTGATGGGACTGGGTCACCATCCAGAATCAGCCCTCCCTCGACCCCCAGCAGTCCAGATGACACCTTCTTCTCCTTGGGAGACTCTCAGAATGGCAAGAAGAGAAGGAAGATTCCCAAGGTAAATCTTTGTCTTTTTTGTTTGGCTTCTTCCAGGCAGGAATGTGAGTATGAGACCAGTTTTCTTTAGTTTCCAGTGTGTGGCGTCCCTGCAAGACAGCTGCTGTCCTGGCTGTTGACTTGACTTAGTCAGTCAAGTGTTTAGTCCCCTTTCTCCCTGAAGGATAAGACACACAAACATGTCTGCACTTTTCAGAGAAGTTATTTTTCCATCTGAGATTTCATAGTAAAAAAAAAAGGCATTGTAATTTTTGGGGTAGAAGTATGTTGGAGGGGAAGAAAGCAGTTCATATTTTGCAAAAGATGTACCCCATCATATTTCTTTCTGTGCTTCCTGGATGGGACAGTCAGAAATTGTGTGTTGTGTGTTTGTTTCCCCCCAGAAATCTGTTGTTCTTTGCTCACTCTGATTGGTGCACTGGCTGTTTATAATTTAAGGGAAGGTGTGATTGTAGGAGAGCAATGAACATAATGACAATTAAGTGACAGAAAGGACTTGTCTGCAGTTATGAGTATTTTCTGCAGCAACATTTCCTGTTTCTTACTTGGATACAGCATTACTCCGCTTAAATTTTATTTTCTTTCAGATCTGTCAGGATGTGCATTCAGTCCAAATGAGGTTTGGCAGCAGTCTATCTATTGAATGTTTCAAAAACACAGTTATAAAAACACAGTTGCTTATCCCGGTCTTTGCAGGACAAGCAAAGGCTACCAGGGATGGTCTGTGGTGACTTTTTTTTCCAAACCCACAGTTTGCATTTGGGGAAAAAGGGATGTGTTTGTGTATCTTCTTTGTTTCCTGGTTGCCAGATCTGTGTTCATGTTTGTATATCTGATTTTTGAATGCCCTCTGTGTGCCTCAGCCTTTCAGGAATGAGCCAAAGACTATAAATGTTTAGGGTTTCTTTCCCACTATGTCTTCACATCTGTGCATGGGCTTGAGCTCTGTCAGAGTGTTCACACATACTTTTATGTCAGTTGAAGAGAGGATTCCAAGTATTTATTTACCCCACAGTGTGCCACTCAGCAGTCTTTCAGGGCCAGCTCAGAACTGAGGTTTGCTGTGTCAAGGGCAGCATTCCCTGAGGCTTGAGCTGGGCATCTGGGTGAAGGCTGCACTTCACGTCACAGCATTCTGCCTCCCACTTAAATATTTGTATCCAGAGTTGCCTGACCAAGTAGGTGCTGGGCCTGTCTTACCTTGAGCTCGCAAGACATGTGGAAGTAAATCTGGAATCTGAATTTATTCCAATTATTTATGGAATAAATCTGAATGCTGTGGCCCTATCCTGCTGCTCCTGCCTGAGACCTTGAGGAGGAGGCAGGTCTGCTCAAGCAGGAAGCCTGGCATGGCTCTGCTGTAATTCCCCTCCCCTTCAGGAATGCACAGGGAGACCAGAGGCACTGAATGAGCCACTAAGGCCAGCGTTGCCCAGCACTGAAATGTCCTCCCTCTTGGTCAGCTGGGAGCGCAGGGATTACAGGATTTGCAAGGAAACCGCTGGTGCAAAATATTTCAGTATCACTGGCCTCCACCCTTCTCAATGTATTCAGTCATCCTCCAGCCAGTTTTCTGCTTCCAAACCTGCAGACCAGGAGAGGTTGTCAAGGGACCCTCTGGTGCTCCCTGGAGCATGGATTATGGTGTGGAGAGATGGACTCTATCAAGCTAATACAGCTGCACAGCGTGGAAGTGCATTAAGGTGTGGCCTTTCATCAGGGTTTGTTACCTGGGCTCCTGCTGTACCAGAGTGTACCAGCACAGATCCTGGGAATTGTGTGTCCTGCACCATCAAGTGAAGAGTTTCAGTATGGCCAGGATTGGGATAAAGAGCGCTTTGCATGAAATTCTAACTTAATTTCTTGCCTGGGGAAGAAATTAACCTTGTTTGTTTGTGTGTTTGCTGAGCAGCTTGTGTTGAAAATCAATGCCATTTACGAGGCACGGAGGGGAAAGAAACGTGTCAAGAGACTGTCACAGTCTACAGAGAGCAATTCAGGGAAAGGTAAAAGAGCTTCAAATCATCCTGCATCTAAGACTTTCTGAGGACTTGCCTGGCACTTTAGACTGCCTTAGTGGTTTATGTGACACTTTCTAGCAATTCTTCCAGTCCGAACTAAGGTTCAGTTGGGGTTTCCACTGTTTTTTTTGGTAAGATAAGGGCTGTTCCTCTGCCCCAAAAGACTTTGGTTAAAATGGAAGTTTTCTGTTTTTCTTGCTTCATTTTCATTCCATGGCTTTGCATGATAACCTTACAGGTCACACCAAACATGTCCCCTCTTTTTGATGTTTATTTCTGGAACATGCTGGAAGCTGTGGAGAGGAATGTTCTGTCCAAAAACTCTGATTTGTTGAGATCAAAATATTTTGTGGGAATGTGTTGCTTCAGTGAACTGTCCAATGGAAGACAGGAGATTTTGGAACAGCCCTGGTTCTTTCACCATCCCAATAAACAAATAGCCTCAGTTGGGAATCAGGGTTTCTACAACTGACTGTAGGACCATCTCCATCATAGCAGGATGGAGACTTTCAGCCTCCCACTGTCAGTTAACAGTCTGCCCAAAGCATTCAGACACTTCAGAACAATTATTTTTAAGCATCTCATCTCTGTAAAAATAATGATTGTGTCTTTCCAACACAGGATTTTCTTCCAAAACACTTTAATATCCAGCAAAAGGCAACCACCTCTATTTGTTTCCCGCAATTATTTGTTACTGTTTATTCTATTTCATAAAGCACAGACAGCCACAGGGTGGATGAGTGTGTTTATATGAACTTTCAGGGGAAGCATCCCAGACTTTTTATACCCCTCCCTAAAGCATCATTCAGAGAAATAGATTACTGGACCATATAGACCTTGAATCTGATTCAGCCTGACTTTTTTTTTTGTTTGTTTCTTTATTTCTTTTCTTGATTTTATCCCATGTCTCACAAACTACTGCATATTAATGAGTATTTTGCCTTGGCGTTGTGCTTATACAGACTTGGATAAAATACCATTCTGGCATTTTATTCTTTATGCAACTCTGTGCAAAAATTGTTTTGTTGTTTGGATGTTTTTTTCCCCTGAATGAATGGGAAGATACCTGGGTTGGTAAGCTGAATATCTGTGGGCATGTGCATCCTTGAAAAGAACAAGGCCCCTGGGACTTAAACTGCTTCCCCCTGAAGTTGCCAGGTCCAGCTTTCTCATGCCAGTGACAAAAAATGCGGAGCTGTAAACAGACTTTGCTTAATTCATCTTCTTTCTTTTTTTTTTCCTAGTTACAGATGAAAACAGTGAATCAGACAGTGACACTGAAGAGAAGCTGAAAGGTAAGGCAATGGCTCCTGATAAACCCTGCTCTGAGCACCTAGGACAAGATCTCTCCTTTGTGTTCTGCCTTTGGAGAAGGACCTTATTTCTGCATAGAAGACAGAGATCTCAATACTGCAGGAGAAAATCTATGGGCAAAGGGCTATGGGAGCCCAAAACAAACATCTCTTCCAGCTCCCATCAAAGCTCTTTGTTAACTGACTTTCCCAGGAGGAGTATTGGACACTGAGGAAATACAGTGAGATTTCTCTAAGTGCAGAGTCAGAAATGTGTGACCAGACTGGTAGAAGCAGTATTGCATGGCACTGGATGTCCAGACACCTCACCACATGCTTACTATGGGAGAAAAGCCACCAGCCAGACTGGCTAGATAGGAAAACAGAGTTTGCTCTATGTGATTTATTGCTGGTTAAACTCTCCTGCACTGAATAGGTTGGGATAAAGCACTGCATTTCTTTCTTCACTCTTGTCGAATTATGTAGTGTACCGGTCTCCAAAATACTCTCCTGAAGCCTTGTACTGATAATTAGCCCCTGGACATTCTGGGAATGTTGCTGTCTTTTGGGAATTTGTGTGGCAAATTCAAAGTGCTGTCAGAGTTAGAATGCAAGATGGAAACTCCCTCACATTCCAAAGTTTCCTGACTCACATGCACATCAGATCTGGATAGCAGGTCAGTTCAGTTCCCAGCTGAAAGGATAGGCATGAGCAGCAGTTGGGCTGTGTGTCAGCCCCACTGCACTGTGAGTGGGAGTGCTTGTTCTCACCTTCTTCCAGGTTTTTAGAAGTGAAAGCTCAGAATGAGTTCCCTCTTGTGAGCAGAGCTTCCCACTCAAGAACTACTGTATGCTCTTGCTTTCATCTGCATTGAAATCTTTTATCTGTATTGGTATGGTAGCAAGATCAAGCTGAAAATTGCTGCCACTGCCTACCTTTTCTAAGGCTAGCCTGGAGACAGGAGAGAGGGTTTTTACCAGGATGGTGCAGAAATTCTATTCACAACCCTCCTGAAACGTGGTGCCGTGAAATACAGACCATGTTCAGATTCAGCTGAGAAAGGCTGATGTGTAGATGTGGCCAGGAAGACTTGAACTCTTGGCTGCTGCTGGTTGCCATAGTGAATCATGTGCATCATCCTGTGTTTCTCTGTAACTGCAGCTCAGAACTCCCCAGAGAGAGGATGATGGAGATCATATGAAGTCACCTCAAATCCAGCAGCACTGGGCTCTGAACAATATCCAGATCCAGACCTGGGTCTGAGTGACTGTGCAAATCTGCATAAGTGTGAACAGGAGCTCTGCCACTTGCTGTCTGCTCTAACTACACCTGTATTTTGCTTGATGCCTTGCTGAACTGTTGACTTCCCTATTTTTAAATAGGAAAGTGAGATGGTTTAGCAAGTCTTTTGTCTTTGGGGCTTTGTACGTTTTGTGTAACACATCAATCACACCAGCCACCTGCCTCTGCTTGCAAGTCACTGTACATGATCTGAGACTCAGTAAATCATAAGGCTGTATGTCAGGGCTGGAAGTGCTGACCCTCAGAAAGGAAAAATCTTGGGAAGACGAACTCTGCCATGATGACAGCAGTAAAATTCTGGTATCTTTAGAATATAAACAGCAAAGATCTTGAGCAAGCTTTTCAGAAGCACTCAGTATTGCTGTGACACTGCTCCTTTTCAAGTCCCTGGTGAAACAGGAACCACTTCTGAAAGCTTTACAGCCCTAGAGCAAATAACATAGTAGGTGACAAGAGAAAGGAGTCTAAGCCAGCCATCTTTCCAGGGCTTTAACTGTCAAGGGTTTGTTACACTTTCTGGTTTGAGAGGCACCTCATTGCTTTAAATTGCATTGTCTGGAATAGTCCGTGAGTGGCACAGCTTTACCAGACAGAAGATCAACAAGTATATTCCATCTCTCAGGAAGTCCTGTCTCCCAAGCAGATATCTTATGTATTTGAGTTCCTATAGTGTCTCTGGTTGTTATTTCCGTCAAAAAGTTGCATTGCCACCCACCTTCCCAAAAAGCAAAGCTGTGAGAATGGTGTAGTCTCTGCTTGTAGTTAATTCTTTTTTTCTTTTGTAGCAGGGATAAGGGAGACATCATGGAGATTTAATTTGGGATGCAACTGTAAAACGAAGCGGGGGGGTGGTCTCAGGGAACCTCATCTGGTCTCTTCTCAGCAGGCAACTTTTCATTACTTTCCATGCTGGAATGTTTATTGTCCCGTGGCTCATGTGTGTGTTGCAGTTACAGCTTGCTTGGCAATTTTTCTTGTTTTCCCATTGTCTTGGGTGAACTTGTAGAAGCGTGGCACTGAGATTAGTTTTGGGCACAGGAAGAACTGGCATGAGCCAGCATTTTTCACTGGCACCTCTTTTCACAGTTTTTTGTTGTTGGCCTACAGCCCAGCCTGTGTGCTGGAGCTGGGAGTCCCCAGCATTACTCAGACAGCAGAGCCCTGGCCTGACCCAAGTGCTGGTCTAGTAAAATCATGGGGATTGCTGCCCACAGCCTTCTCTGAACAATGGTGGTCAGTCACCTCACTGTGCTGGCTTTGAAAAATCCATAAATGAGTGCTAGGTTGAATGCCTGGACATTCTGTTACATCATGTCCCATATCTCATCTTGGGCTGCTTCAGCTGTAAAAGCTATCCATGAAATCCTTCTGCTGCCAGAGTTCTTCAGGGTGATGGCACAAGATTATGGCCCATCTCTGTCAATATTTATCTGCAGCTTCCAAATGGTTCCCACCTCTTAGTCAGACGCCGACAGAACCACTGCAATGAGTTGATTTCAGGTTTGTCCCTCAGCCTCTGCAGAGCACTGTTGATGCTCTGTGCAAAGAGCCAGACTAAGTCAGAATCTCTCCTTGTTTCCATAGCTCACAGCCAGCGCCTGGTGCACGTGAAATCCCGGCTGAAGCAAGCCCCGCGGTACCAGACCTTGGAGCGGGACCTGATCGAGTACCAGGAGAGGCAACTCTTTGAGTACTTTGTTGTGGTGTCGCTGCACAAGAAGCAGGCTGGGGCTGCCTACATCCCTGAGGTCACCCAGCAGTTCCCACTGAAGGTCTGCCTGACCTGTCTCGGATCGAGTGGTGCACTTGGACGGCTGGAGGAGCTGCAGCTTCTCTGCTGACCACACGTTGTATCACTGGCCGCTCTGCTGTGTCACTATTGCGGGAGACTGAAGATAGTGGGAGGGCTTCAGTCACTGCCTGAGAATTGTCATGGTATCGCTCACTTCTGAAAGAGCAGCTGATTTAGATCTTTTGCTGCACTTGGCTATGGCTTTTATGTAGTTATTCCCTTTCTTCCCCTTCCCTCTTTAAAGAAAACTGAAGGCTGGGAGAAAATACTTGTTCTGAAAGGGAAGGAACAGCTTTTGGTGACAGCCTAGCTCAAAATGGGGAAGGAGGAGTGGAAGAAACACGGAGCCAGTGTGACAGAGAGTTTGTAAATGGGATGTGACCAGAGCTCCTCTCAGACTTCAGTTCTCTTGCCCCTTGCCTGGAGTTGTGTCCCAGATTAGAGGCACAATATAGCAGAGGCAGGTGTTGTAGAGGCCAGGCTTGGTGGAATTGGGAGCACAGAGTTACCTTGAGATATCTAGAGATAAAGTGAGCCAGAATCATGGAAATTTTAATATCTTCCAGGCAGAAGCTTAGCTTCTGTCATCACCTCTTCATTTGTCACAGGAAAAATATTTGAAGTCATTCCATCCCCACATGACTAATTGGAAACATTCCTTCTCTCTATTCTGCTAGCTTGAGCGCTCGTTCAAATTCATGCGTGAGGCAGAAGATCAGTTGAAAGCTATTCCCCAGTTTTGCTTCCCTGATGCAAAAGACTGGGCCCCCATCCATCAGTTTGCCAGGTAAGTACTGTACTTTGTATCCTGATTCATGAGAAACAGATTTCTATATCCTGTATCCTGTATTAAGTACAGGAGCTTTTATGGTAGAAGATTGGGCAGAGCTCAGAGAGGGGTGTATGGGAAATGCAGAAATACTGGGGGTTAATTGGATTTGTGTGTCTGAGACTAGTAATGTGGCTGATGGGTATCTTATCATTCTGGTTTCTCTTTCTGCAGTGAGACATTCTCATTTGTCCTGACGGGGGAAGATGGAAGCAGGAGATTTGGGTATTGTAGGAGGCTGCTGGTAATTATCCCTGAGTTTTTCTCTTTTCCTAGTGGTGCAGCCTTCTGTGGGGTTGGTGTTACTGGCACCCATTCTGAAAAGTGGATAGCTGCTGCTCCTCTCTTTCAGTGTGGAATGAAAAGAGAGGCAACAGAGCAGCTTTGCTCTCTTTTTTTCATTGCCAAAGTCCCTCTCTGCATCCCATCCTCCACTCCAGACATAACTCTCTTGCATTTTCCTTGCACCAGCACTTTATCATGACCATGGACTGTTGTTTCATCCCTGAGCCGAAGACAGGGTTTATCCTCTTTAGATTTGGATAACTATTAAACAGTTGTCTAAACCTGTGCTGGTCCTGTAGGTTCAGAGTTGTCTCTGTAGATCAGTCTGCTCTGCCTTTGTCATTTGATTGGGGTAAGCTGGGACCTTACTGTGGATGTGGCCATTTCTCCTCACTGTTTCTGGTGTACCAGGGTTTGAGCCAGGTTGTCATCATCACCATGCTATCAAATGCCTGCCATTTTCTGAGCCAGCCAGTGAGAACTGAGGGACCAGTCACTCTGCCTTTGCAGTAGTTACAACTCTGACATTTCCTTGGTGTTTTTTGTCTGTATGTTTGTGTTTGTCCTAAAAGCCCAGTGGAAAAGGGAAGCGTCTCCCAGAAGTTTACTGCATTGTGAGTCGCCTTGGATGCTTCAATCTCTTCTCTAAGGTGAGGGGGGAGAAAGAGAGGGAATTTGTGCTGTAGGTCAAGAGGGACCTGAAAGTGAAGCCAGCATCTGAATGAATGAGGATTAGGGAAGCTGATAGCTGAAGAAAGGATCTGAAATGGTGTTTGTGAGGCAACCACATGCTAATTCCAGAACCCAGCAAAAGCACAGTTAATAGGAAAACTAGATTGTCAGCTCTTGCCTTCTTCCTTGAGCAGAATTCCCAGAATGCAAGAGAGGTTAAAAGGTGGAGTCCTGACTCTGAGTGTAGTGGGGAGTTTGCAAATTTTCAGCTTTACAGTGAGCTCAGTGGAGCCGCGCTTCCCCTGATAAGTGAAATCAAGGGTCTTCAGTTGCACCTTTTGCCTTCTTTCTTTTGATCCAAAGCTCCATCTCAGTACTGGATTAAGGAGAAGACATAGCTAGGTGTTATCCTGGTGTTATCTCCCTCCTCCTGATTTGCATGTCTTTGTGTTTTCATGCTTTTATTTCAGATCTTGGATGAGGTTGAGAAGAGGAGGGGCATTTCCCCAGCCCTGGTGCAGCCTCTCATGAGGAGTGTCATGGAGGCACCTTTCCCAGCTCTGGGCAGGACAATTACAGTCAAGAACTTCTTGCCAGGCTCAGGAACAGAGGTAAAGACACTTCCTAGAGAGAGGGAAACAGGCCAGAAAATGGTGCAGGACTAGCAACTGGAAGTTGGGACCATGGCATAGCTCTGGAGGTTTTCATGAAGAGATGATCTGTCAGCTGTGGGGGAAGCTGAGGAGTAAAACAGGGGACCAGAGGAGATGGAATGGAGACTTCAGTGACCTCAGAATCAAAGTGGAAATCCTATGGTGAAAATGAATGTAAGCACACAGACTAGTATACTAACATAGCAGAAGGAAATGGGACACTGGCCTTGAGGCCAAGAGGCACAGACAGCAGGTCCTGTGCTGCCCAGCATATGACCTTGGATCTGCTCAAAGACATCACACTCAACATCCTAACGACAGGTTTGTACCGCGTGCTCCAGCACCCTTAATACAGAACCTCTGCTTGTGTGGATCAGGTCAAAAAATCCTTGAAACCACACCAGGCTAATGTTGCAGCCATTGAGAATGGCATTTTCACAGTGTGGAGGTGAGAATCTGTGCTGCATCTCACATGAGGTGGTGTGAGGACAACTGGAGTTTTAAGAGTGCAGAGCTTTAGGGTGTAGCAATGAAGGACTGTGGGAGGATGGAGGGAGACAAATTGAATGTAGTTTTGGCCATACTTGCTGCAGGGCATGGTATGCCTTGAATGTGAGAGGGAGGAAAGTGAGAAAGTTGATAAAGTTGTGTCTGTGGGCTTTCAGCAGAGCACTACATGAGCACATTCTCCTCAACCCAACTGAAAACAGTCCCAACTAAATGACATTACTGCAGAGAACAAGCAAAGCTGGTTAAAAATGTGTGCTGGAGGAGCAAAGTCCCAGTGGTGTGCTGTGAGAAGATTGTGGCTGGCTTGTGTCTGGGATTCTGTTCATTAATTATCTGATTGATGGCATAAACTCCACATATGCACAGTACAGCACTGGGATGGGGGCAGGCACTTTGGAGAGTGAGGGATTAAAAGTTCAAAGTGCCCCACTCCCCTAAATTCAAGAAGTACATTCAGGTGTTCAAGAAATGACTGAATGTGGCACTGTGGTCTAGGTGTCATGGTGGAGATCCATTGGACTCAATGATTTTAGGGATCTTTTCCAGTCTAAATGATTCTATGATTCTGCCAATTGAAAATTTGGTGTGAAAATCAATATGGACAAGAGCAAAATTCTGAGAGGAAGAAAGGAATAGTCTAATAGAACATGAAAATAACTGAGTGAGCAACGGTACTTCAGAGAAGGATCCGGTGGTACAGTGGGCCATAACGTGAGCAAAAGTAACAGTGTGGTATTATTTAGACAAAATCCTTCATTGCAATAGCAAGTGAAGGGATGAATAATAAAGAAAAGCAACTTTTCTACTTTCCAGTACTGATGGAATTTTATTTAGAGTATCATTTTCCAAAACATGCAACCACTAGGAGAAATCCCCAGAAGGGCAGTTCTGCTTACTAAGTGATCTAGAGAATACAGGCATATCCTAAGAAATTGTTTACTTAATAAAGAAAACAAAAGACAAAGGAAGACACGTGGTAACCTTTCAATACACAAGAAGTTTCCTACAGAGAGGAATGTGACCAGTTGTTCTGAGTGGATACTGAAAGTAAGAAAACAAGTAATTGAAGTAATTTGCCACTGACATGTTTCAGCTGCAGGCTTGGTGTTGGTGAGGCTAGTTCAGAACTAGAGTAATTTTCTTGTGGGATTTATGAAATGTGTGGTGTTGGAGGCTTTCAAAAACAATTTAGATAAGCATCTGTCTAAGATAAGGAGTATGAAGTGCTAAGGTGCTATGACAGGCATTATTTAAGTAGATATGAACAAAGAAAAATATCCACAGGCTACTCTTGTCTGTAACTGTTATAAAAAATATGGTCAGGAGGTTAGGCATCCAGATTCTTGCAGTAAAACAAAAAAAAAATTGTAACTGTAAAAGTCAGAGTGTAGATTTGAAAGGCTCCATGACATTTTGCTGCTTGAATACCAGAAAGCCTGAAAACCACTCCTAGCTGGACACAAACTAGTTTTCCTCCTTCTGAAGAGCTCCCTGTCCTCAGTCCAGTGGGAAGAGCTTGTGGTTGATCTCATGCTGTGCCTGTTGGACTGGACTCTGTATCGTCTTCATCTGGGAGAAGGATTTCTGGGAGGCCTTTGGAAGGACTGTATTGGAGGACTTATTGCTGTGTGGTGCTCAGTGCAGTCAGCGCTAGCTGTGACAATACCTGCTGAGTCCTTGCTTGGCATACTCTGGGAGGGCAGCAAGAGCTCACCTGTGCTCTTTTTGTCCCCACCAGGTCATCGAGCTGCGGCGGCCGCTTGACTCCAGGCTGGAGCATGTTGATTTTGAGTCCTTGTTCACCTCCCTCAGCGTGCGGCACCTGAGCAGAGTCTTTGCCTCCTTGCTGCTGGAAAGAAGGGTGATCTTTATTGCAGACAAGCTCAGGTACCCTCTTGCATTTCCCTAAAGAAAATGCTGGCAAGGAAGGGAGTCTGGGAAGGCTGCAGTGACAGATCTCTCTGCTTTGTTCTTTTTCTTCTCTGCCCTTTTCCAACCTCGTAACAGTGTGAACAGAGCTGTTCTTCCCAGGAATGGGGAACTTAGGCCATGAACCATAATTTCATTTTGCAGCTTGCAAAAAGTGCTGCTTCTCGTCCCCAGGGAGAACCAAGCTCCACTTCCTCCAGACAATTTTGGAGCAGATTCCTGGTGCTAAGGAAGCAAAACCCCTCCTTTTGCTCCATGATGCTGCAGTGTTCCTGGCTGAGCTGTGCTTGGGTTTCCAGGGATCAAGCCTTGTGCAGATCTCACACTGTCCCTTCTGAGTTTTTCCCTGATGTCACAAAATCTTCTTAATTTTTCAGCTTGTATTTTCATATCAGTTTCTAACAACTTATTTTTTCTTACGGGGATGAAAGTAAAGGAGGGCAAGGGGCAATGAGACAGAGGACTTCCCCCTTCTGTTTTGAATCTGCTCAATTTGCTCTTTTAAAAATTATTTGTTTGCTCTCCTAAATTACGAAAATGGGTCTGGATTTCTTTAAGATCTTGTGCAGCTGGTGGCTGGCAGCTCTCCAGCTCTTGAAGCACTTGAGGATTCAGGGAGGAAAGTTCGCCAAGGCTGGGGAAAGAAAAGCTGCCTGGATGAGTAATGACACTTAGGAGCACGCTCAGGTTTCAGGAGTGTACAATGCCCCTAAGCTGTCTGTTTTCACAACTTCCAGGCAGCAGCCTGCAGCTCTGGGACTGAGCACTGGGGCAAAGAATGGAGAGGCCCCTTCTAGAGGAAAATGAAGGGGAAAACTTTGTTCTACATGGATCCAGGGCTCTCTGTGGGCAGAGCTCAGGCAGTCTCATCACAGGAATAGAAAGGCTGGGGAGAGAGAAGCTGTAGCACTGTCTGCTTGCAAGTTTTGGCAGCTGTTTTGGTTCAGAAAGGGGAAAATTTGCCTCTTTATAATCACTGATACATTATGTGTGCAGAGACTTCGTATTCTGGATACTTAAACCACACATTTCATGCAGAGCATTTAGATTTGAATTGAAAGTGAGAGAATTCATCCTAACACTAGATCTCTGTGAAACATATGTGATTTATGACATAATCTATGATCACAAGCTCTCAAATATTTTTCTCTTCCTCGGTAGGATAAATTTTGCATTTTCCCACCCCTGTATCTTTTGTCAGGATATCTAGAGTCCTTAGGAATGAATCCAGCTGTACAGGCCTGTAAAGAGAATGGGAAGCAGCTATAGAATCTTAGTTTCTAGAATCTCTAAATGTCTCATAAACAGTTGGTTGTTTTTTTTCCTGTGAAAAAGGAATTGTCGTGTTTAAAAGATCTGGGGTCTGTTAGACCACAGGGCTCAGATTCAAATATTTACCATAGATTTGGCAACTCTCTATGAGACTTTTAGTATTTGATGTTTCTGAGGAGACCTTGCTCTGAGCAATTTCAGGAGAGTCTTTTTCTTTTCCTCTTACAAAATACGAAGATTCTCCGGCTCATTTTTGTGGAGCAAAAGGTTGGAAATTATCCGAAAGGACTGTAAAGGCATGAAACATGCAGAAGACAAATAAAATGCCCCTCAAAATGAAGGAACTACTATATTTTAATCCAGTTCATTGACTTGAATGGACTGGCTTTGTGAGCCTGTCCAAAGGCGAGCAGTCTCTTTTACTCAAAAGTGGGCCTTCCATGTTTTGAAAGTTGATGCTATTGTAGGTACTTCTGTCCAAATTATATTTTTCCTGGGACAGGAACACATTGAACTCAATGAGTACTGTGTAGTATTCACTCCAGGAGTGAAAATGCCAGTTTGAGAGGAAAGAAAAGAAGCACTTTTTGGAAGTAACTGAAGAGAAGGAAAAAAAACTATTAAAGCAGCTGTTGGAAACTGCTCAGAGGTTAGGAATGCTAGAAATAATCCAGCTGAGATGGATTAATGGGAAGAGTGCAGGTGACACAGTGAAAGATGCACAATAAATTAGGTTTATCGTTCATCTTTGTGGCTCTTCGTGTGGGCACTATCAATAACTATCTGTCCATGTTTGAGAAGGTGTATCAGGGTGTGAGTGACAGAGAAATGATGTGAACAGTTTATTTACGTCCTTTAATTGCTATAAAATCAGTCTGTGGGAAAAGTAGGCTGAAAGGTCTCCTGCCAAATACTGCATGAACTGTGAAATGTTTTCAAGCTGAGCCAAAAAATGCATCTAACAAGTGTACAGCAAGTGAAATACTTTGTCTTTTCCATCTTTAGAATGAGCATTGAGTGTTTAAATACCTGTCAATCCACAGCTTGGCAGCGGAAAAGGAAAGAATTTGGTTTATTAGTTTTTGGGTGGGTTTTTTTTTCTCTGTCACTATGGATACCAGAATTATACATTGCCTCGCAACCCGGGAAAATGGACTTAGTTAAAATTGTGTTGGCCTGTGTAGTCTTTTCCCAGCTTTTGTTCATTCCTGCACTGTTAACTTTAGTCCTAGGGCAGTGGAGACAGTGGCACAGGTTAGACACTGCAACATGAGAGCTGCTTTTGTTTCAGAGGGATGTTGCCTGGCATGCAGCTCCAGGTGCTGCCAGCCAACCTTTTAGAAGGCATCTTTCAGCTGAAATCACCTGATGTCACAAGGTACCTCAAGCTGGGCAGTTTTTAATGGCCTGACCAGGAGATCTTTGTGATTCAGAAGGCTTTTTAAAAAGAAAAGCTTGCACGGGCTTAAAATCAAGGCGTCCTTTTTCCAGAGCTCAAAAGCTTGTTGTGGATCTGACCAACTCAAGCAATTGCCTCTGTCTCTGCCAGAAACCACAGCTGTATCAACAACACAAAGTGGTCATTGTTATCAAAGGCAGATCTGAAAGAATTAGAGTAGACACTTTAAATGTGGTCATCCCCAGCAAAAGGTAATTAATCATCAGGAAGAACCCTTTACCATGTGCTACAAAAACAAATTTGGGACTACGAATACCAACCTCATGGGTTTCTCCCTTTTTGCCCTGTGATTAGGGAGAAGAGGAAACCCAAGGATGAAGTTTGGATGTCAGATAATAGTGTTGTGTCTTCAGATCATCTTAATACACATTTCTTCACCTGCACAAACCTGCCACATTGGTAGGAGTCAGTGAGGGTCCCCAGAGAGCTGGTGGAACTTGGCACCCTCCTGGTGGGATTTGCAGCAGTGCTGTGTGAAGTCATGGGACAATGCTTGGAGGCTCCTGTGCCTGCTAAATGTTGTCAACCAGATCTGTAATCCATCATAAGTAAATCCAGATGTGACATAGTGTCAGAAATCTGAAGGTGTTTGTAAAACAAATCCTACTGTGGCAGAGCTTGTAAAAAAAAATAAAATTAAATATACATATTTGAACAGTGTTAAATTGCCAAATGCCAGCATATTTTGAGCAGTTTGGTTAGTGCAAGGACCACAGGACTTCCTGGCATTAAACTAAAGCAGGGTGTTTGATTCAATGGTGTTTTACAGAAATCATGCAGTATCCTAAACCCAAAGAGGGTGTCAGCTTTGGGGGCTTTTTATCACATATACATGCCTTTGGAGTGGAAAGCAACCAGGCTGAACAGCCAATGTCCCTCCATAGAAGCTGTTGCAATTTGTCAAGGTGCCTTCTAGAGCAAGTCAAGCTAGTCTTGGAGCAGGTTTTCCCAGGAGAGGAAGAAGGGAGTCTGTGTAATTGCAGCTGTTGTGTTCAGCTTCTGCATTGACCACCTGTGTTCGAGGTGGCTACCAAGAAGCAGAAGTGCTTTTCACAGGGTGCTTTGGGGTGGGTTTGTGCACAGGGTGCTTTGGGGTGGGTTTGTGCACAGAGTGATGTAGGGTGGGTTTGTGCACAGCGTGCTGTGTGGTGGGAAGGCTGTTGTTCAAGGAAACCAGTGTCACAAGTTGCTGCAGTATCATCGTTCTGACCAAGGGAATGCTTTACCCAGAGAGATCTGTGTGTCAGTCCCTGTCCAGCCCTTCAGGGAGGGCTCTGAGGGTTTTTGTGTACCTCAGTCGTTTTTAGCCTCTGTATTGTTGACATCTCAGTCTCAGCGGAGGGCAACATGCAGCTCAGCCACGTTCCCTGCAGAATGCTGAATGAGCCCATGAAAATGTGCTTAGCATCTTGAAACTATTTTTCAGAGACCTGCAGCATTTTAAAGATTGCTCATGAAACCAAAGGCCTTAAAAACTGGTGTCTGTGTCCCGTTTGAACAGCTGGACTGAACCTGTGTGGCCTAAGGGTAGCGCATGGCACTTCCCAAAGCATGCTGCAGTGACATGGCTGCTGGCTGAAGAGCACACAGTCACACAGGTGGCATAAAAGGGATTTATCAAGCTGGATTTTTTTGCAAGGCTCAGCAGGCTGGTGTGAATCAGCAGTCCCTTAGTGCTTGTTGCAGTGCCAAGTGCAAGAGAAAGAGAGAGCTTAGGCTTGAGTCACTCCAGAAGGCCACGGTTCTCCTGGGCTCCTGGCAACCTGCAGCTCCCTGAGACTACCTGCAGAGCGAGTCTGATGTGTGAAAAAGATACCTCAGCATCCATCCCTGAACTGCTCTGCCTACAAAGGAGGCTCACAGAACCTCAGCCCTACCGGTATTGTTCCCTGGAAAGGTCTTCCACAGTGAGAAATGTTTGGGAGCAAGAGATCACAGGGTTTCACCCTGGAGGCGATGAGTCATGCACAGATGGAAGGGTGGAAGGGGAAGTTATCTTTACTTCCCACTGCCTGGTGTGTACAATTTCAGACTTAACACAGCTCTGTCTTTGACTTCCACTCGCTGGAGCTCAGCCATCTCTCCTCCCACTCAATCTCTCACGTACCATGTGTACTCGCTGGGACTCGAGAGCTGGGCTGAGGGAAGAACAAGCACCATAAATATAGCAGGAGACAGCTTGCCATAATATCTCACCATGCCATAAATAACCACATACTTCAGCTGCTCACTGTTCCTCTGTGGAGCTACCTGGACTCAGAGATGTTTTCCATAGGTTTTCACATGCTGTCTATAAATTTAGGTCCCATGTTTAGGCAGAAGATTTGAATACACCTTCAAAATAGAGGATTGATGACAAATGTAAAACTTCTAACACTTCCATATTCACCCTCTCCTCAAAGGAGAGGAACAGTGGGTGGTGATAGTGCCCCACTGCTGTGCAAAAGTGATGAAAGGTGCAGTTCTTTCAGCTTTCACTATGCTGCTGCTGCTATTACCAGGTCTATTATCAGTCAGAAACTGAGGAGTGGAAAATACGCTCTGCAGTAATGGAGAGGAAGAGAAGCCCCTGCTTTTGTATCTGCTAACATGACCTGAAATGTATGAGTAGCCCAGCTTTGAAGGAGATGGTTTTTTAAGGATCTCATTAGCTTGGAGTGCACTTCTCAGACCACACATTCACTTTTGTTGCAATTCCTTTCAAGATTAGCTTGTATGAAAGATACAACAAAAATCATCTACTTTGGTATTATTCCCACAGTTTTTCTGGGTGGGTTTTTTTTTAATGTTTCTGTTTCTTGCTAGCTCTGTGTTTTCTCATTATTTGAATTTTGCGTCTCTCAGATTCATTATCTACCTTGCATTTGTGATAGACACAGCAAGGTGTGGGCTTGCTGATGATGGCAAGCACAGCTGGAGAGCAGCAACACAGAGGAGGAGTGAATGCAGGGAGGGGGCTACACTCACAGCTTCCCAAACAAGGATGCGGAACTGAAGGGTTTTTCCCATTTAAAGGCTTAAAGCTGTCAGTCTGTAACACAGCCCTTGAAGGATCTTCCTCTGTTTTTAGAGTATCCCCTTAAAAAAGACAGTCCTCTGGGAGTGAAGGTAGAGGAAACTGTCCCCATTTTGTGAAGAGACTTTCTCAGAACACAAATCCCAGGCATCTTTCCCAAGTGCCAGTTCCCTACCTGTTGCTGTCAGCAATAAAATTTTCAGGTTAAAGCAGATTCCATCCTCTTCACTGGGATCTCCTTTTCTCCAAAAAGTGTCATGTGTTTAACAATGTTTGCTGCCTGATTACTTTGTACTGTCACACTGATGTCCCAGCAGCTACAATTTTGTTCTTCTAACCTGAGCTTACGTGATGGAAGGCAGCCAGCTGTCCCCCAGCCACACCACTCTGCTCGCCTGCCCTAGTGATACAGCACAGGGATGCACATCCACCAAACTTAACTGGAGTGGGGAGGGAAAGCAGGCTTCACTTCTCAGAGCAAGCTCAAGTCCACACCCATCAAACCCCTTCCCTCTCAAGTCAGCAATAAACGCAGCTTGCTGAATATAAATTCTCCCACAGAGTCTAATGGGAGCCAGCTGGGCATCTTTCTGTAGCCACGTGACTCCTGCATGCTGCACCAGTCTCCTTCCTCTCCCTCCTCTCCTCTGCCAGATGCTGGTAAAACCAAATGATGTTATACATACAGGGTTTGCAGCAGCTAGCCTTCCCTCTCTCTTGACACATAAAAATGCTTCCAGACCCAGAACAGATGAATAACTGGTGCCCTGTGGCAAGCTCTGCTTGTTGCAAGTATCTGCTAACTGGATATTCTGCCTGATTCCTGCCAGAGAGCTGTGGGAAAATGGACTCATTTCTCTTAGGAAAGGCAGTGGCATCGAAGGTGTTGTGTTTGCCTGATATGTTCCATCAGAACACTGGAGCAGCAGATCTCTGATTCAGTGGAACCTATCTCTTGTCATAAGAGTGTGGTATAGGGTCATCTTTCAGAAGTCATTGCTTCTAAAGCTGAAAAATGGGTCAGAAATGGGGGAAAGCCCCTAGTAATTAAAGAGCAATCAGGGAACAGTTGATTTCTAGGAAGCACCCCTCATTTCCTGACTGACCATTGTCTTTGTTGTGTTTTGTCTTCCAGCACTCTCTCCAAGTGTTGCCATGCCACAGTGGCCCTACTGTACCCCTTCACCTGGCAGCACACCTACATCCCCGTGCTGCCACCTTCCATGATTGACATCGTGTGCTCGCCCACCCCCTTCCTCATCGGCCTGCTCTCCAGCTCCCTGCCCCGCCTGAAGGAGCTGCCTGTGGAGGAGGTGAGTCCTGCATCCACACTGTGCCCTACTTGAGGTTGTTTCCTGTGGGCTGAGCTGTTTTCCGGCAGCACCAGGGAGCTCTCATCCTCTGGCTGCTGTGAGTGTGGGGTAAGGGTGGAGCTGGATGTTCCCCCGGGGAGACAAAGGTCTGTGCTCTGCTTTGGCCACAGCTTGGGAAGGCTGGAAGTCTCCCAGTGTGGGGCTGCTGAGGGTAGGAGATGGTTTTAGTACAGTTTATGCTGGTTTCTGCATAGTGCTGTCTCGGGGCTATGTGCAAATCCTGTCACTTTAGGTGTGATTGCTACAGCTGGCCAGGATAGCTGCTCCTTGGGTTAACACAGGTGCCTTATGGTAGCAATAATTAATAACTAAATAATAAATAAAAAATAATAAATAAAAAACTAAGAATTGGATTCCTGGCGCACAGCGGTGAGCACAGCAAGGCTGAACGTGCTTGGGGAGGGATTTCCCTCCCTGCCTCCCAGGAGACAGCGGCGCAGCACACAGGGAGAAAGGATGAGACTCTGACTATGCAGTGAGGAGCAGTGGGCCAGGCCTGGAGCACAGCCTCCTGTTGTCCAAGCTGTGCTGTGGTTTGCAATGACATCCCCAGAAAGCCACAACACAGGCTCTGCTCCTGGGTCATGCTGGGTGCCTCCTCCAGCTGCAGTGGTGGGTAGGAGGAGCAGGGAAGTGTTCCGTCCAGAGCAGTTACAGAGTAAGATAAACTCTGATGATGGAAATAATTACTTCCCCTTTTAATTCTTGCTCTTTCATTCTTAGGTCCTCGTTGTTGACCTTGTAAATAATCGGTTTCTGAGACAGGTGAGCAGAGCTAATTCATATCTTTTTCTCCCCATTTTCCTCCATAACTTACCTCCATCTGTGTTTGCTGACCTGCCTGGCAAGATAGATCACTTTCTCCCCACTCAAAAACTGAGGCAGGGCTTGTGGTTGGCAGTGTTATAGGGGTTGGTGTGTACATATGTAACATCAGCATCCCAAACCACAGGTGCTGAGGACTAAATTGTTGTGAGTTACTTCTTTCTGGGTTTTTTGTTTGCTTGTTTGTTTGTTTTTTTTAAGAGGGGAAATGGTGGCACTTGAGTGCTGTGGATCCTTAAGTGTCATCCTGTAAGGCAGAGGACAGAGCTAGAAGGCCTTGGCTCAGCACTGTCTGCTGGGTTCTTCCAGCCTGTGTCTATCAGTTCATCTCCCATCACATACTCTTCCCTGAGTGGGAAGGGAGCCTCGATGATTTTTTGAAATCCATACTGCCTCGGGAGCTTGTGGTTCCTCACTCTGGTCCTTGCTCTGGATGGCTCAGAAGCAGGAAGGTGGGACATGGGAGCCTGTGTGTTGCTCTGCAGGCAAGATTGCCCGCTGATTTTCACTTCCCTTTGTTGTGGAGAGGAGGAGTGGGAAGGGGAGGAGGAAGGGAAGAGGATAAATGAGCAGACATACTGCTGGCCCAGGAAGCTCTTTATTCCCAGAGCTCTTTGGCAGCTCTTTGAGCAGCGCTGGCAGTGTCGGTCTCTGCCGTGACTAAGACGGGCTGAGTGCTCCTCCTGCTGCAGGGAGCAGTGTGTGGGTGAGGGCCAAGCCCTCCCACAGCCCTCGCCTGCCAGCTGCCTCTGCTCTGGGGTAATGCTTTACCTTGCACCTCTCTTCTGCAGGCTTAAGCTGAATCAGCCAGCTCAGTCAGGGCTGGTGGGAGCTCTGCACAGTCACTGGCAGTTCCTTGGCTCTGTTGCTCCCTGGGAATTCCTTATGCCTGTGTAAGAGGATTGGTGCCTGAGCAGGGGCTCTGCTCACCTGGCCACGTGCCAGCATTGTTCACACACCTCCTCTTTGTGATGGGGCCAGTGCTTGTGGGCAGATGGTGAGCCCTGCCCAGTAACTTCTCGGATCAGACATGTAAAATTCCTCCAGAACAGAGGAACATTTAGGAAAAGACACCTGCTTTCTCCTTCCTCTTGTGCTTCTTGATAGTACCGCGCTGGGTGGGGCTGGGAATGTGCCAAACATATTTGCTTTCTGCCTCTCCTCACGTTTCATTTCTAGTGCTCCCCCTGCTGTGCTGGGGACAGGGTAGGAGATGTTTTTGTCCCAGCCTAGGTCCATGAGGAGGTGGATCTCTGTTACAGATGGAAGATGAGGACTCCATCCTGCCCCGCAAGCTGCAGGCTGCCCTAGAGCACATTTTGGAGCAGAGGAATGAGCTGGCAAGTGACAAGGAGGAGGGCCCTGTCAATGGCAAGCAGGGTAAGTCACAGTGCCTTTCAGCTTAAAACCATGTCTTTTCCTGCCCCTTTCTTTTCTGTCACTCCTTAGAGGAGAACTAGGCTTGTACTGAATTTAGCACGACAGGTACTGGAGGTAGATCAGGATTTTGTTAAGCTCTATGAAATATTCCAGCACACAGGGGGCAGCTCTCTGTGTGAAGAGCAACAGTACTTATCTCTTACCAGCTCTGCTTACAATTCCTTACAATTCCAGTGAACACCTGTACTCAGGTGGGGTTTCATAGGCTTCTTCTCTCTGCTGCTGGCCATGAGTGATGCAGGCTCCTCCAGGGAATAGTCACCTGCAGAGCGATGGCCATGTGGCTCATGGGTGACTGGGTGAGACAGCTCTCTCGGGGGGACAGTATGGGCATCTCCTTGCTGCAGAGGAGCCTGGAGAATTTGCTGGTTTTGCCTAGGACAGAGTTCATTTTCTCCATAGCTAGTATGGGGCTGTATTTTGGATTTGTGCTGGAAATGGTGTTGATAATACAGGGATGTTTTAGCTGCTGCTGAGCAGAGCTCACACTGAGCCAACACCTTTCTGCCTCTCATCCCACCCCACCAGTGAGTGAGCTGAGGGCCCACAAGGAGAGGAGAGGGAACATAGTCAGGACAGCTGACCCCAGATGACCAAAGGGATGTTCCACATGGAGTGATGTTCATGGAGTCATGCTCTGCATATGAAGCTGCAGGAAGGAGGAGGAAATGGGGGGACATTTGGAAATAGGGCATTTTGTCTTCCCAAGGCACGTGTGCTGGAGCCCTGCTTTGCTGAACACCTGCCTGCCCATGGGAGCTGCTGAATAAATCAATTATTTTGCTTTGCTTTCATGAACAGTTTTAGATTCATCCATTAAACTCTCTTTATCTTAGCCCATAAGTTTTCTCACTTTTACTCTTCTGATTATCTCCCCCATCCCATCAGAGTGAAGTAAGCACCAAAACAAAGCTTGGTATCTTTCAAATTAGTAGCAATTTGGTCTACTTCCATGACAAGCACTTCCTAGGATGCTATCTCCCTTGAGCAGCCTTTTCTTCTCAGGCTGGATCTGAAAAAAGCCAGGGAATTTTTAACCAGAGATTTTCCTAGCACATTCTTACAGCACCATCCTCACCACTGCCTCTTCATTTTCCCCTTAGAAACCAGCCCTTTGAACGAGGTGGTGTCCGAGGCCTTTGTCCGTTTCTTTGTGGAGATTGTGGGCCACTATTCCCTCTTCCTGACCCCCGCGGAGCGAGAGGAGCGGACCCTGCAGCGTGAGGCTTTCCGCAAATCCGTCTCTTCCAAGAGCCTCCGACGCTTCCTGGAGGTCTTCATGGAGACACAGATGTTTGGGGGCTTCATTCAGGAGCGGGAGCTGCGGAAGCAGGGGGTCAGAGGTGAGTGGCTCCGACTGGGCTCTGCTGTGGTGGAAACTGCTGTTGTTCCTACGAGAGCAGGGAGATGCTCCCCAGCCACCACCTCCATCCCCTGTTCCGTGGCTGGAGGCTGCAGTGTGTACAGGAGCACCAGAAGGGATTATTCTGGTGGTTTCTTCATGGGGTTGGGATTACAGGCAACTTTCACCCTGGCAGTATCCTCCACGTGTGTGCCTCTTCCATTCCACATTGAATTCCACTGCTGGAATGACGTTTATTCTTGCAGTCCCTCATGTCCTCTTCTTGTGTCTAGAGGAAAAATGGGCTGGATTCATGGTCATGGTTCTTTTGTCTAGTAGAAAGCTTGGATGCTCATCTCCTTCCCAGAGCTGCTTCTGTGGTTTCACTCCTGTTTTCCCACAGTCCCAAGGGCTCTACTGGCAGCTGGAATTTCTTATCCCTGCTGCTACTCAGTGCTGGCTTAGCAGCTTCCTTCCAAGCATTAATAAGCAGGGGATGCTTGAATAGATGGCTGAGTAGAAGAGGTAAATGCTGCACGATGATTTTCCAGATGATGTCACTCCCTGTGCTCTCAGCAGAATGAAGGGAGGTACATTCTGTACCCTGAGTGAGGTACAGCAGCTCAGTCAGCCTTGCAGTGGGGAGGGAGGGGGGAGACTAAAGCTTCTGTGCCAAATCTGGCCTCAGCTGATGGAGGAGGTGAGGTGAGTTGTTCTCCCTCCTGTGCAATAATGTGTTGGTAAGCTGAGACAGCACACTTTCAGGTGGGCATTCTTACTTGGATTTATAGAGACACAAAATAGAAGCTGTTGATTTCTGTCTTTCTGCAGGTCTGTTTGAGGTACGGGCTCAGGAGTACCTGGAAACACTTCCCAGTGGGGAGCAGAGTGGAGTCAATAGGTTCCTGAAAGGCCTAGGTAAGGAACCAGAAAAACCTTTGGCTTCTCAGGAAGGCTGGGATTCTTGTTGCCTTCAGGCTGGGCAGCACAGCAGCTGCCCAAGGGTGACAGGGCCAGTGACTGTGTGGCATCCAGTGCCTGGCCATGTATCCCTGTGCTGGCACGCTGTTGGCTCTGGCCCTGGTCACTCCTTGTCTGGAGGCTGGTGGAGAACCAAAGATTGGGCCATGATCTGTCTTCTAAAGGACACGGGTGGGCAATGGAGCAGCCAGTGACTTGGGGATGGTGAATGCAGGTCCTGATGGGGGCATTGACACAGTTTTCATTGCTTTCATTTGCCCTTTGGGATCAGCAGTGGGAACTGCCCAGGAGTATTCTGAGATTGAATCTATTTTCTGCCATAAGGGGAACTAGCCAAGAGCTTCAGACTGAGGTTAGAAGTCCTTGATAAGTCATTGGACACCATGGCTGAGTTTGATCAGGTGCTAAGATCGCATCCCTGATCCTCTTGTCTGTTCTTGACCACTTAAGAGCATGAGGGGCTGGTGTGCTCTGGACAAATGGGCTCTGGAGGGTGTCCCTGGGAGCTTGCAAGGTCCCAGCCTGCAGCACTGCTCCCAGGAAATGGGCAGAGCTCTGCAGGCCTCTGCTTCCAGCTTTGCAGAGCAGCTGGCTGTGGACAAGGAGCCAGGGATGGCAGTAGGGCCAGTACACTGCATTGGACAGAGGTGGTGGGAAATTACACTTGTTTTATCTGTCACTGTGGAGAGTCCATTTTCTTTGTCTCTTCAGGCAGCAAAATGAAATTCCTCCACAAAAAGTAAGAGCGAAGCACATCCTCATTCCACAGAAGAGAATGGCTTTACCATTTAGCAGCAATAAATCAGACTTATCAACCATTCCCAATCAGCCTGCTCCCAGGAGCCAGCAGCCTTGGGCACGCTGGCCACGGCCAGGACGTGCTGCACAGACCTGTGGTGCTGCAGGAAGATGGGATGGCTGCAGGGCTGCCGGGGCAGGTTTCTGGATGTCTACAGTAGCAAGCACTGGACCAAGCACTCTCTCTGAACTCTGCACTAGCACGTTGCAGGCATCCCGGCAGATCGGATCTCTTAGCTAGTCAATTCTTTATTTGGTTGTATTTTTCTATTTATATTGAGGTTAGAACAGTTATTAACCAATGACTCCTGCCCTGCCTCCTCTCTGCCTGGTGCTGCAGGAGGCCCAAGCGGGACTCCCGTGGGACTGAGCAGGCAAAGCTCAGGCCTGGAGCGGAAGAACAGAGATGTGTGAAGGCAGGTCTCTGTTAAGCAAGGACACTGAGGGCTGCAGGGATGGTATGGACTAACCAGGAGCTTCCAAGCAAGGGAAAAGGGTGAGGGGGAACCACTAAGCCTACTGAGGACTTGATGGGCCAGCCAGCTCCCTGGATGGCTGTACCAGGGAGTCTTGGCACGAGGAGAGGCCTTTCCTCATGCAGTGTAATTAAAAGCGAGTTGTGTAAAAGGCATGTGGATCCATGGTGTTTTCACTGAGCTGTGTCTTCCCACCGTCCCACCTAGTGCCAAGCATGAGCCAGAAAGGACATCAAGCAGCTGGACCCATGACTTGGCCAGGCCCTCAGCTTCCCTGTGAGTCCCAGAGGCCAGGTGGCCTCGATCCCTCACCTGGCAGCTTGCCAGGGGAGCCCAAGGTGGAGCTCACCTGCAGGATTTCATCTGGGAGACCTGCTTCCCAAAGGTCAGATGGGCTCTCCTCTCTTGTCATGAGTGTTGCTGCTGGGAAGCACAGTGGGAAAGGGACAAGGGCAGTGTCTGCTGCTGGTGTGAAAGCTGTTAACACTTGCACTGCTTGTGAGGGCAAGAGTACCTGGAGCATCCTTGAGTCTGCTCTTTGGAGGAGAGTCTCTTCCCCAGCTGCTGTGGGGTTGCAGGGTAAAAGTTGCATATGGGTACCTTGTCTGCAGCTGTGCTACGCTGGGCTGCACAGGACTCCCAGAGGCTTTGAAAATGATCCCTGTGGTCCATGGGTTTTGCCAGGTGAGAGGACCTTTCTGACCAGCAGTGGGGTTCAGAGGACCTCACCTCCATTCCACACCAGAGCAGAGCGGTGGCTCCAGTGCTGCTCTGTGAATCTTTTGAAGCCGTGCAACCAGGTAGGTTGGGAAAATGGCTCAGGGTGGCCCTGCTTGAGCAGGGGCATGGCCCAGGACTCACAGGTCCCTTCCCACCTCAGCCTCTCTGTGGCTCTGTGGTGAGCACAGGAAATGCTGGACAGCCATGGTGTCACACCAGGCAGGGGGCAGGCAGGCAGCACCTTCAGCTCTGTGCCCCCCAGCTTCTGTGCAGGAACAGAGGAAGCAACAATAGAGGGGCTCAGAGAAGACAGCAGCATTTACTCCCTGCCCCCACCCAGGGTCAGGGTCCCTCAGGGGTGACCAGGTGGAGTGTGGCAGCACTGCCCCTTGGGTATGCTGAACAAAACTGGTGCCACTTCAGTCCTAGGAGGTGGTGGTGGCTCACTGAAGGGAACTGCAGTGGGGCTTGAGGTGAATCAAATGCTGTGCTCTGGTTCTCGTTTTAGAAGGAGTTTCTAATGGAAGCATTATGAAGCTTTGCAAAACTGGGGTTACCTCCACACATGTAAAGGTGGCCAGGATGACTGCAAAGCTCTCTGGGATGCTAAATAAAGCTGATCTGTGGCTCAGCTCCAGCCTTCAGAAGCAGGTCTCCTACATGGTCCCACACTGCTCCTGGGGACTCCACGTTCCTTTCCTTAAGTGATGTTTTCAGTGGTGTGGGACCTGGCCTTCCTTGGCAGGAGCTGTGGAAAGGAGTGGAGAGGGATCCCAGCTTGCCCAACACTTAGCTCAACTTGAAGTGGTGTTTGAGCATGCTGGCAGCTTTTACTACACTATCCTCAAATTAAAGGATATTTCTTGCCTCTGTTAAAGGCTCAAATTAAAAAGAGTTGTGAAATAGCCCTGTTTGTCTCATTGGGGAGCTCCAAGGGGGCTCTTCCAGCACGGGGCTTCATGACCACTCAGAGCATTTATTGGCCACTCTCAGGAAAGTGGGAATCAAGCCTACATAATGTACAAAATCCAAAGGGAGTGTTCAAAAGCAGCAGCATGAGAAGTACAATGAAAGAAACATTTACAAATGTGTCATTAAGGATTTAATAAGAAACTTGGACAGGAAATGTTGATCTCCAGCTGCAGGACCTCTTCAGCTTTAGTTTGAGCTGTGCTGCTCTGAGATGAGCTTGACTCTCCATCTAAGGGCTCTGTATGCTTTGGAGGAAGCCACCTGTAAGGAAAAGCCGTAAAACCACCTGTGCTGGGTCTGACTGTGGGTCTGTGTGTCCTCCTATGGAAGCTGCCAGCAGCAGCTGATCAGAGAAGACTGTGAACAGAGCACATACACTGGGCATGCCATATATGCTACACACACTCACACACTGTACTGTACACAAGCATTAAACTTGCCTACTCTACATGCCAGGGGTTTCCTGCACCAGAGCTGGGTCTCGGTGTTTAGTAGCCTTGGATGAGTTTCTATTCCATGACCACGTGCACATGGGTGTAGACAAACGTGCTGAGGCAAAAGGCCAGTCTGGGGGCAGCATGGATTTTCTAAAGAGTACTGGAGAATCAGAACACTGGTTAAACATTAAAAGCTGTGATCTCTGCTCCCTGACAGTTCCTGCCTAATTAAACAGCTCTCACACACCAGTGTGAGCAGCTCTGCAGGGCCCGTGATGTGCAGAACTGCATTTGCTGACTCCCAATCTACTGGCTGAATCCCAAGCTCTGTACCCTTCCTTGGTTTTCCACACAGGCTATTGGTGTCCTGTGATAGCTCAGGACACCTGTGAGATCCCAGCCCTTCCAGAAACTTTTGGGAATGTACCATCCACCATGCAGTTGTTCATTCTGTAGCTACTGCTGGCAGGACAGCCAGCCAGCCCTGGGCAGTCAAGAGACCAGACCCAGCCGTGCAGAGGGCAGTCAGACTTGGGCTTGCAGTGTTGCAGCCAAGGGGATGTGCTTGCACTTTGCTGCACGTGGGGATCCCTGGTGCCAGTTGCCAGGAGATTTAGAGCTCACCTCTCTGCCTGGAGACAGATTTCAGGTTGCAGGTGCCAGCAGGCAGTTTGCAGGTGTAGAGCCCCAGGCAGCCACCACAGTCAGAGGGCTTCTGGCAGGGCCGGGACTGGATGCTGTGGCAGGAGTGCTGCAGAGAGAAGGAAAGGGGTGGCTGCAATGCCCATGGCAGCCAGGACCAGCCCAGTCACAGCTGCATCATCTCTGCAGTAGCAGGACAAGCAGATCACCAGGGTCTGGAGCAGCAGCTTCATTGCAAGGAGCTGAAGAGGCTGGGCTCCAAGGAGGTGCATCCAGGGGCAGTTCATTACTGGTTTTGGCTGGAAGCACTCAAAGCTGGCCCCCACAGCCACAACAAACCCCTCCAGTGCCTCTGCTCTTTTGCTGTGGTAGCTGAGTGGCATTTGGCACAGCATCACCCAGCACTTTGTGGTTAAGGCAAGGTCCACTTGTGTGCCACCAAAGTGCAGTTTGGGTTTGATAAAGGGGAAGTTGGTTATTTGTGGGATGCTGTGCTGAGCCTGTGGAGCAGATTTCCCATGGGTGGAGAAAGGCTGTGCCTCCCTCAGGGCAGTGCTGAGAGGAGCTGTGCCCATCGGGGCATCAGGGCACGGTGCCCCCATTGCAGAACGTGGAGAGCTTTGTTAGCACTGCAGGGAGAAAACACGAGACTTTGGAGAACACAGCAGGGGCTGGGGCTGGAGCAGGACTGAGGGCAGCACGTGGGGAAAACTGCAGCCAGACCTGCACTCTCCTCCTCAGCTGCTCACAGCCATCAGCTCTGCTCTAAGCCTTGCCAGGTACCAGCTGGGGATCTGGGGGTGTCACTGCCCAACTCCCTTCTCAGCACCCAGACCCAGGCTGTGCTGTGAGGCCGTGCTGTGACTGGCACCTTAAAATGCATCTCATGAGG